CCCCCCCCCCCCCCCCCCCCCTTTCCGCTTGTCACAACGTTCTACGGTCCGCTACCCCCTCTCCCTCTTCGAAGGCTTCTGGATGGAAGCGGGGGAGGGGCGACAGGAGATATCGAGCAAACTTTGGTACAGTAAAACAACTGCTACCCAATCCCCTGGAAAGAGAGGAGGGCGCTGGGCGAAAGAAGCAGAATCGGTCAGCTCACGTTTCTAAATTGCAATTATGCTAGGAGAATACCACAGCATTTTTGTAAATGCTGGTCAGGACAAGTACTGATAAAATACACTTACTCGTGTTAAAAAGTCGGCGCCTGTACCCAGCCGACAGTATTTCGGTATCATTTTGAAGACCAATGGTGGAATTGTTATCGGATGTGCACGGATCACTGCCGAGAGCGCCAGAAGAGAACCGTGTCGTTTATTTGACTTCTCGTGTTTCGTTCCATCAAACAGTTCGTCCTGTAAAATTGTGAATAAAATGATAATCAGTAATGCGTTTCAGAATCGGGATAGGAACCAGAATTGCAGTGACTAAAGTGGAATAAAAAAATGTGCAGCGGGCAAAAAGCAAGCGCAACCAAGTAAATGATAACAAGAACTCTTCACAAAACCTACAAGATAAGAATCGGTAAGTGGTTGGAATCCACAATGTATCAGTGCAACCAAGCAATCAGCCGCCTCTCGCCGTACTTCTGGCTGTGCATGACAGATAGCGCGATTTACCATCCTTCTATAAACAGAATGTGTACTGTTGGCGACAGAGGGAATATTTCTTTCTTCAGTGATGGTTCATACGCCGATTATTCTGGTCAAGATTATACGACGAGCCTTTTGAAAAGTTCCTCTTGCCGGTAATCTTACTCATGTTCCATGCGCAAGTGTGTTATATAATTGTTGGCGTATGAATGAATGCGACAGCTCCATACAAAATTGAAAATACATATTTTTCTCACTGTTGACCGCGATGCACCAGTACATTATTCATAACCCACGTGTTTTGCATACGATTCGCTCACACAAAGGGCAGTTCGTGCTGATTGTTTACGTGCGTCTACCTTCGTCAAATATACTTTGTTTATCTCTCACAATTTTTCGCTGGAGCATAATCGCTGGCACGAAAATGGTTGCGGTTTGCCTTGAAAAAGTTTGTCGCTACGGGAATCGTCTATGCTAAGTTTAGATAGTCCAAAATCGCACGGTCAAGCTCGTCTAGACTTCGGGCGTCCACGCTTTTGAATTTTTACTGCAAGTTGCTCTGAGCAATTTTGCACTCAAGTATGCTGGTATGTGCAGAAGGCGTAGGGGTCCGAGAAGGATAATATTACGGTCTTAATGCCGCACAAGAAACGCAAGCATTTTCATAGAATTTTTGCTTTCGCGCTTGATCGATTGCTGAGCAGCAGAATGATCAAAACTGTTGCAATTTAAACATCCGACGCGTCGGTACGCGGAGCATATTAGCAAGCAAAAGCTTTTTTTACAAATGCAGGTTAGCACATGGAAAGTCAGCGTTTCGCAAAACTGTGAATTTCTGCTCAGTTGGGTCGCAGAGTAAATTGGGGGTCAAAATACCCAAAATTAGAACTCTACTTGCGCTTAAAGAGCTAGATTTGTCATGAAACTGAATTTAAAAATTTTAGGTGGTGCATAAAATTTCAGCTTCTTTGAAGCCTGATCCCCTAAATTGCCTTTCCGCCGCAAGTATATTTGTCTTGTGCGTACGCGTGTCATAAACGTGCGCGAAGGCTAATTCTGCGTTCACGAATTCGTACATAGCAAAAATAAGTTCTCCCAAATCACAGCATTCTGCACAGCCTAGTTTCCGAGTTCTTGTTTCGCCAGCGATGTCTTAATTTCATTTTTGAGATGCGCGTGGGTTAAGGCCTCTTTTGCTTCAGAATATAGGATTATCAAAAAATTCAATTTTATTTTAAGTAAAATCGACGCCGAGAAGAAGCCGAGAAGCAGTTACCTCACAATTTCCAGTCTTTTTTGTTTTTCACACACAAATACATTTGAAAATATAAACACTTGGAGAAACTTCATAACAGACACCCAAGCCTTCCAGCTGTAACTCCGATCCATTGTCTGCAACTACCAAAGATAAGCAAAAATCCCACAGCTTCACTTTTCTATATGAGTATCTGCATGAAGACTACAGATCTACCCATACACATACATATGTGTACATCCATGCACACCTTGGCTTCAAAATTTGGAACTCTCAAAACACAGAATTTTTTATATCAGGAGTGATAAAAAAGCAGAATTGGCGCCAGGAAAAGTTAAGAAGCACTTAAACAGACTACCTGTTCTACAACATGGAGCATCTGATCGGCAAGCTCCTCACGCAGATAAATGCCTGACCAATTTTGGAAAAGAATATCGCTGGCTCCAACAGCTATATCCACGTCTCGCTCGATTTCCGCTTCATCGTTGCTGCAAAAAAAAACGAAGGAAAAAAATTACGCTAGATTTTATTGACGGATGAGGTTCCGCTGTGATTTAGCATGATTATTTTCGAATAACGCCCTTCGATCACTTGTCACTTTTTTATCTAAACTGAAAATATCGAAAACTGAAAATAAGATAATAAATATCGATTATTAGAAAAGTAATAAATATCGATTATTAAAATTAGAACTAGCAGTGCCTGTGGTCAAGCAGGGCGGAACTGGCTATAATGGGATCAGCTATGACCAAACAAAAATAATGAATCATAAAAATGCCAAATTAGCTCGCCTACACATGTGAATAATAAGCACGAAATATAATAGTGGAAGATGCTGAAATGCGATTAGATAAAACCCAGGCTGGAACGCACCAGGCTCTCCAGTGCGATCATGCGTTTTTGCACTAAATTCGCTGATCGCTATTAGCAGGAATGATCCCTACGCTGTAGCCTAACACTTGGGTCATATTGGCATGCAGGAGGAAGGGCGTCAGTTGGGATGAAGGTGTTGCATTATTGAGCCGCACGGACATCCAGGTGCCTGATTAACCGTTTTTTGCATGAGGTCTGGTCGTTTTTGCGATAAATACTCGCTTTGTGAAAAAATGACAAATGCAATTTCCCCCCTCATTAAAAATTGGAAGTGTTGCTCGAAGGATCGTTTTTAAAAAAAATCCATGTTCATTTATA